AGTGTCATCCACTACATGGACTTTTAAACGGTATCTAATTTACATTTAGAAAATATAAGTAATTTATAAGTACAAAAATTTATAAGAAAAATATTTATTAAAGTGTTAAAACATGCAAAATATTATATTTACCTCAAAACCACACCTTGGGATTTACACACACCACAAAAGTTCAAACTGTCCTCTGGCAATTTTTTCTTAGGGCATCCCTTACAGGAGCTGTAAAACCAGGAACCTGAGTTTTCTATTCCCGCAATAGAGCAAGAAATCCAAACACGCCCTTGCTGTAAAAAGAGATATGTAGGATGTAATGTTTGATGAGATAATTAAAATTTTCAAAATATGTACTTTACCTCTTTCCTTTCAATAACTTCCTCTATCGTTCTGAGCTTGATTGTCATTGGAGTACTTTGAAATGTTATCGTAGAGACACTCAAGGATAGAGACTGATTGGAAATACATCTTGTTGCAATGTATCTGGTTTGCCAATAAGAAACAATTCTAAATAGTTTTTGAAAATTGTTATTTATTTTCAAAGACCAAAGTATTTTTAAAATTACCTCTCTCTGAAGGTGTTAATCTCTTGAATGTTCTCATCAAGCAACATCTTAGAAACATCGTAGTAAGTGGAAGCCTTAATGTTGCCTGAGAAAATGAAATTTGCATAGTCAAATTTTCAGAATTCCAAGTAATTACACAGAATTACTCTTTTAATATAAAAAGTATTAAATTTCCATATATTTGGAATATTTTTCCCGTATTGAAAAATTGAAAAAATTTAGAAGCAGTATTGTTTTGTTTTAAATTACATTTTAAAGAAATTCTTTACCATTATATATCCCTTCTTTGCAAAACTGAATTACAGCTATGACGGGTTTCTTTGGCAATTTTTCCACAAATTTCATGAGATTTGAAGCATATCTGCCCCACAAAGTACATGCAATTCTTGTGCCCCTATAACCATTTATAGTGTAATACACAATTATATTCGTATAATATACATACTATAATAAGGGATAATGACTGATATGATGTACTTACTCTAAATTCTCTAATATAATCTCCATAATTAGGGTTTCTTTTCCCATAACTGGTTTGGTGATTGGAGGGTCATTAACAAACATTGCGCCTATTACATCTGTTCAAGTAAAAATATTAAATCGTATTAAGATTTTTAAAATAGACAAATGATCTCAAGGAATTTATGCATGAAAAATGAGTAAAGTAATTACCAAACATTGGAACATTTTCAATATTTTTCAAAGCATTTATCTCCCCAAATGGTTTGAAATTGAAAAAATGCTTGGGGAATTGTTCATCAAACATCTCGGTAACAGTACTCCTTTTACCAAGTGATAGCTTAAATTTGCTTGAAACAATGTGAGGCCTGTTGTTTGATAAACTGCCGGATTACTTATTCGATATAAATTCCCCTCTTTGAGCGTTGATCCAAACAATGCTATTTCCTCCTTTTGATAGACTCCAAGAATGTGGTTCCCCTGAAATTTTTTATAAAATAATTAATATCAATTTGAAAACTGGCTAGCTAAAAAGTTTTGAAAAAAAGTACCTCATTGTCGTGAAAAATACACTCCCGTGCATAAACTTCTCCAGCATTTCTGTAGGATATCAAGTCGTAAGAACAAACTAATCTTAATTTAAGATTGGCACGAAAAGTAGATGGTTTTAAATCCACCAATCTTGTCCAAAGGGCAGGCATTTTAGTAAAGTATAATGCTGATTATTAATAAACCAGTGTATTGAAGGAATTTTGGGGAAGGGTGGGTAGTGTTATGCACTGGAGTGGTATTTATACTGACAATGGAATGTGTTGGGTTCTCAGGACGGACTTTGTTGGTCTGAGTACTATGACTTGAATGGCATAATATACGCTGGTTTCCCTTCTTAGTGCTGACTTGGTTTGTCTTATGCACCTGTAATAGGTATTTGCAGTGTAGTACAATGACCATGTTCACTGTATGTCTCGTAATTATGTGATTTATCTTTCCTTTGCAGCTGTGATATATTACACATTTGCAGGTGCAATACTTTCAGTAAACAGAGGCTCTGATGCAATTTTTATACTTTTCTTGTAAATGTGAAATTAAGGAAATAAAACATATCTTGGCGTGGCTTGGTGGGTACCGAAGCAGTCATGGCGTTTTTGCATCCTTTCCATTGTGATGAGTAAATAAATTTGAAAAGTCTGAGCCTCTTTTTAGCCGCAGTTGATTTCAAAATTGAAAAGGAAAATAATGTATCTCCAAAGAGGCTGTGACGATATCACTGTGTATCTTCTAATGCTAATAACAAAGATTTAACGAAATGATTCGTATCTTGGCGAGGCAACCTCGAACTTTGAGATCATCGTTGCAGCCATGACAATCATATCGTTTAGATAGCAATGGAAAATAATTCCGAGCCTCAACGATAGTTCTTTTTTTATATAGAAATTATAAACGGATTTTAAATATGTCGAATTTGTGATTCGTATCTTGGCGAGGCAACATTTAGATTACAATCGGTTTGCAGCCATGGCAATCACATATCCATGTGTATCAATGGAAAAAATTCTGAGCCTAAAGAAATTTTTCACTGCTTCACATATCCGCGCGTGATATCCATTGCTCTTGCAGTTCTTTTGTCATTTGATCAGTGAACTACTTGGCTTGGACTGACTCTTTGGAGATAGCATGTACTGGAATTCCTGATGTGGGACAATAATCTTTTGTCCAGAACTGATTGTATGTCTTTATAGATAGAGATCTCATACGCTGCTGCCACGTGTAGCAAACTATTCTCATCCATTCGATGCATAATTATGGCAGAAAAAACAGGAATGAAATTGGAAAAAATTTCTTATGGGCTTTTATATATAAGTAGAGTATGACGTATCTCTAATGAGGCTGTGACAACATCAATGTGTATTTACCAATGCTAATAACGAAGATTTAACGAAATGATTTGTATCTTGGCGAGGCAACCCCGAACTTTGAGATCATCGTTGCAGCCATGACAATCATATCATTTAGCTTAGCAATGGAAAATAATTCCGAGCCTCAACAATAGTTTTTTTTTTTTGGAATTTATAAACGGAGTTTAAATATGTTGAATTTGTGATTTGTATCTTGGGAGGGAAACATCTAGATTACAATGGGTTTGCAGCCATGGCAATCACATATCCATGTGTATCAATGGAAAAAATTCAGAGTCTAAATAAATTTACGGTATGCATTGTGAATTTGTGATGTGTATCATTTATATTACAGTAATAAAAAAGAACTTAGCTTGGACTGGCTCTTTGGAGAAACTGGAAGTTCAGGGAGTGCTGCATGTGTATCATTGAACTGGCAGTTTTTTTTTGTCATTTTTCAGTGAACTACTTGGCTTGTGTTCACTTCGCTTGGACTGGCTCTCTAGAGATAGCATGTACTGGAATTCTAGCTGTGGGGATAACCCTCTTTTGTCCAGAATTGATTGTATGTCTTAAAAGATAGAGATCTTATTAGATGATGCCACGTGTAGCAAACTATTCTCATCCATTGGATATGTAAATATGGTGGGAAAATCAGGAATGAAATTGGCAAAAATTTCTCATGGGCTTTTATATATATAGTAGATTGGGCTTTTTTCAAGATAAATTAATATGCGCCGGACTTTAAAAAAAAGTTATTTTTATTTTCGTTCAAATATTAACAATATTACTCGTATAAAAAATGCTCCCAAAATGTCATATTGTGTCATGTCACTCACCTCACCAAAAATTATCTCATTTTTCAGAAGTGGTGCACTATACTCCCTCCATCCAGAAATAAACTTCCCGTTAGAAGCTACGATGTTTGACTGAAGTTATTTTCAAATCACTTTATATGAAAAATGGAGTAAAATTTAAAAATAAAATTACATATTAAAAAACTATATCAAAATATCTATAAAACTAGAGGTGACATGACTATATTATTTTATCAAATGGGTGACGAAAATAGGCCAACAAAGTGAATAAAATTTGACCATGTGAATAGTGAACGAGAAGTTTTTTGTGGAAGGAGGGAGTATTTCATTCATCTCAGCCATCCGCGTAGAGGTGGACAAGAATCTCAAAATTGTTGTCCTGACTTGAAATATCTTGGTCTCGTATCTATAATGTTCCGTTTTGTTAGGTGATGGTGTAAATATAGCTGGGTGGGTTAACCGGGTTTGACCTGGACACACTCGACCCGTAATATAAAACACACAACAAGAACACAAAGTATGACCTAGACCGGGTAAATCTCCTCAGTCCGAATTATATTTCTTACTCTATCTCAAGAGTGAACTTTAGTGAGAGAAAAATTGGATCCCCTCCTCTATCCAATATCATCATATTTATAGAGGAGGATTTGTGACCTTCCCCTGTTCATCCATGGACAAAATAGGAAGCTCGTGGGAAGGTCACTGTAGATAATGGGAACACTGTACAATCATAGAATTTAGCAACTATAGGCCAAGACATGTACTGTTCAATCAAAGACTAAAATGGATATTCTCAATCCAATCAACCCTGCAAAATGACAAACATCCCTTTCACTGTGTGCCGCGTGATGGATGAGCGGCGGGGTGTCCCCTTGACCTCTGACGTGGTTCACCATGCCTGAGATACTGGACCAATGTTTGTCAAGTGAGATGATATGACCGGTCAACTTCTCTCAAAGGTTACCCGGTCATTCTTTGTGCTCAACCCGTCTCTGGTCTTCTAGATTGTCCTTTGTAACATTAGGCGACATTT